TGAAAACAATGGAGGTCATGACTTAGTATCGATAATTTTAGACCTCTTTTATATATAAAAAAATAAAACTTGTTTAATTAAAATATTTAAAATTAAAATTATTTATTTTTAAGTTAAAATATTATGATTATAATTCTAAATTACATCAAAGATTCCTAATAATTTTCACACAAACGAGTTCATGAATTAAAACTCAATAAGACATGCATGTCTCCTTCAAAATAAAATTGTAGTACTTCTTTGCTTCTCAATCAATGAAGTGATAACTTATAAAAATAATTAAATTCTAGTTTTAACTTCTTCTCTAACACCCAAGAGGAAGAAAAAAAAATGCAAAAGAAATATCAAGGAAATTTGGATGATCACCAAGATTGAGGTTGAAATAAATTATGTATTTGTATTGTATAAAATATTAAAATTATTATATTTATATTATACTTTATATAAAAATTATATATTATAATTCGTATTGACATAATTTATATTTTTTATATCATATTCATATTATATTATTATATTATATTTTAGATTATCATACTTAGATCGAAGGTCGAAGTCATTGAACCTTTTTAACATATGGGAGAACTTAAGTTGGATAGATTTTAATAATAAATAAATAAAATGGATTGGAATAAGAATATAATAATGTACTTTTGATTATTTTAGAAGAAAAGCTTACATAAAGCAATACTTGATTTACAGTTTAATTGTCTAGCTGAAAGACCATACACAAAAACCACTATGTAATTTTCTTTAAAGCTACTTGTCCAACAACCAAAAAAAAAAAAAAAGCACAATTCTTATATATTAATGCTATGAATCTTATTGAATTCAAAATTTAATTCAATCGTTTGTATAATTATCTTTAAAAAATAACATAAAAAATTTAAAATTTAAATTCTAACATTTATAATTTAACATTTAAATTCAACAATCTACTTGTTAGTATTTTAAATTAAAATGTTGATTTCTCAAATTTTAAGTGAACAATCAATCGATCAACTCAATTTGAACAAATGAGATCAGTTCGAATATCTTAGAGTTGACCATGGACAATCTAGGTCCAAAATCCTTCGTCTCACAAATATAGATAGCATCATTCAGATTCCATTAATTCATGTGGCTTTTTCTTAACTTTAAGTGTTATCTCCTTCCTATGCCACTCTCAAACCGATTTTTAACTTTCCCTTTTTTTTTTTTTTGAATCCTCTGTTGCCATGGGAGAAGCAAATCAGACAATGATTCTTTGGTGACATTTTAATCAACATCTTGACATGGGTTTTAGTGGACAAATTCAAGTTAGGTAAATATTCCTTGATATGATTAAAATTTAAACACAGAAATAAGAAAGAATCCAAAGAAGCCTTTTTGGAACTTACAAACAATATTGTAAACCCTAAATTAAATTCATCTATTTTTCAATAATTATGTGGTTTATGGATAAAATGTTGACTTTTAATTATAATGATTATGTTTAAATCACAAAGGATTTTTATAAAAGTATTGACATATTGATTGTGTTTTACATATTGACATTTGGAATCTTAGTAGGCAAACTTTAGAGTGAACTAGATTTTATAAATGAGAGACAAAATCATTGATTGAGATTAATGAAGCAAAATACTGTGGTTGGTCTGTGTTTAGTGCTTTGGGCCTGATGATTTAATAGCACTATTTAATAGGAGAGTGCATAATTTAGTTTTAATTAAATTAACTAATCGGAATGATTTAATTGGGTTATTTAATTAGTTATCGAATTAATTTCGATTGAGATTTTAAAATTTTTTTATTTTTAATTAATTTGATTCAAAATTTAAATTAATTGAAATTTTAATAAAAATATAACATAATCTAAATATAAAATAAAAATATATGAAATAGATCAGTTAATTTTATAATTTGTTAGAATTTTTAACATAATACTTTGATATTTGAATATTTTATTGAATAATTTTATTTATTTATTTAAAATATGAGAAATTAAAATTTTAAAATATAATTTAACTTAAATATATTTATTATTTGATTAATAGAAAAAATTAATTGAACCGATTAAATTTAATTCGATTAGTTAATTTTTGAAATTCATAAATTCGATTCAATTAACGAAAATAAAATAATATAATTCAGTTAATTCAATTTTAAATAATTTAATTTAAAATTAATCGAATCGATGAATAAATACTTTTACTATTTAATACAAATTTTGTTGAAATTGAGAGAAAATTTTTTTTTTTTTAAAAAACTACAGCAACAATGCCAAATTTAATAGGTTATAGGTAATTCAATTCAATTAAGCAAGGAAAAAAAGAATGCCAATTGGGCTAAGTCAAAGGTAGGTCTAGTGGTGTCATAATCCAAATCATTGCATAACAACCTCACTATAAAAAAATTCAACATTTCCTTTACCAAAATTTTTTACAATTTTAAAAAACATTAAAAAATTTATATATTTTTAAAAATATATAAAGCATTTGAGTTAATTTCAAATTTTTTTATTAATTTTTGATATGGCATCTATATTTACATTTATATTTATACTCATCAGTAGGGATGGAAGAACCCTTTTCACTAGGAGCACTTCCTAGCCAAACAAGATAAAGGATAATCTATCCTAGGAGGACATCTTCAATTCCATGGTTACAGTTTAAATTTCCTAACATTATGACCTCAAATTTATATTTTGAAGACTAACTTGAAATAAATTTCAATGAAGAGTTATTTTCAATTGTAGAAAGAAAAAAGATTAATCTCAAAAGAATTATGGGTACCCTGATAATGATAATCAAGGAGATATGGTATCACCAAATTAGAGGATTTCATTAATCAGATAAATCAATGTTAGGTAATGAATTTGGTAGATAACTTCAATCATATATAGATTCTTTGTAAAACCCCAAGTGCTTATCCATTTAAGCTACTGTTTGAAAATGCTATGCCTTATGAAAAAAGTAAAAAAAAAAAATTTAAATTTAAGCAAAGATTTCTCTTTCTTATCATCTCTCTCCTTTTTCTTAATTATGATTTTGTAAAAACAGATTTTTTTTTTGTTTGCCAGCTTGGGATGTTATTATTATTAATGATTACTTGTGAATTTTTCAACCCTCAAAATGGGGATTAACTTAGGGATTAAAATCTCTCTCTTAGTGTATTTTATTAAGGTAAGTGCATAAGATGAGTGAATTTTGAAGAATAAGAGGCCAACCCCACGTTCTAAAACTTTAGGTGGTGTGGTTGGTTGACCTTTTCCATCCACTTGCTGATAATTTCTTCTTTTTGCATGAGAATTAAGACAGCATCTGATAAACAAGTTATGTCAGTCAATATCCAATGAGTAAAGAAGCATTGGTAAAGTTTTTCTACTAATCTTATAACAAAATGTTTCTGTCATGTGCTGGGAGCTAGGTATGACTTTTGAAGAGTGTTCTTCTGGAAAGGAAAAGGGAGAAGGGAGTTTGGTTTTTTTTCAACTTTCAGTGGGAAAATTTTGGAACATCCAACATCTTGACACTTTACACCAACTGTCAACTTAATTGACGTTTTTCAGGCATTCACTACGATACATTCAAGTCCTTTTCAAGATCTAGCCAAAGAACCAGCGGCCTCGAGCTCATGTTTGATGCTTTGAGACTCCAAATGATGAACTCAAATGCAGCGTTGAAGAAAGAATTCGGAAAATTCTGAGAGAAATTTTCATCGTGCCATCATATCGATATGAGACTGGAACTAAATCATCGACATATCCCACATGTTCAAGGCTACTAGATGATTATGGTAACATACGGCAAGGCATTGGAAACTAGTTCAATGAGCTCAATCATTCCTATTCCATTTTTCCCTGTTCTTTCATTCTTTTTCCAAGTCAAGACAAAGGAGTCATCCCCACTTCAACTAAACCCCATTGCGCGCCAGAAATATGAAATATTGTAGCATAATTCAACCCACCTTTGACAAAGCAACACTCCCACACGAAAAACACAGAAATAGAGATGAAAACGACATCTCATTACATCAAAGTATAGTCAAGAATCTGATACAAATGTTCAATTAGTGGCCTTGGAGATTGGGGAGACTAAATTTCAGTTAACATTCCAATCAAATGAACATGTTTTTATGCATCCTACACAGGATTACAAATGCAGAATCAAAACACATGTAGCTTAAAAAATTCCTAAAACTCCAGCAACAATATGTAGCCCTAGTTTGCTATACAGATTCTTTATCATACAGCAATTTGCAAGCGGCCAAGTCGTCTTTTGTCTTGTATTTTCCAAACATTACAGCAACAGTTGTGCAACGACACTGATTATCAGGCCGAGTTACATCCCCATGAACAGCCATTTCTATACTGTCAAGCTCCTATCTACAAGTAGTAAGAAATACTTTGAATTACATATGGAAAATAGAGATATGCAACCACAATGAAACAAAATGGTTATTCCAAGAAAACTTTGGGTAGATTGTAGGCAAGAGCTACCTATTTTATGCTTAAGGAAAGAGATGATGGGACGTTCAGAAGCTCAGAAGTTGATGAAAACCTGAATGGTGAACAAGCAACAGGTCATAGTTGGCTAGAATCAAAATATCCTAACTGGCCAATAAATATCTACATAGGCTATTTCCCAGATTAAGATTGTGATACAAGAGGTTCTCAACTTCCTATAGTGCAGAAGAAAAAATGGAGAAACAATCATCAACCACAAGGATATCATCATCAATTGTTGATGGGTATATACAGGGATGCTGAGGAACAATGGCTGTGCCGATTCAGCAAAAAGCTAAAAACCCAATGATAAGTGATGACAAAATAAGGCATTTGACATCCATTAAGAGTTGTATGGCACCTAAAATGAAGCAGCGGTAGCAGTTTATCCTTCTCCATCACCATTCGCAAGTCAGTGAATGACAATAGCCAGAGAGCAAGGGCATGTTTGGTAAACCTGTTATTAAACCAATCAGAAATTAAAAAAAAAAAAAAGCTTTCCTAAATTTTTTAAAGAAAACTATCTTAGAACACTGATGTTTCCAAAGGTAACAACTTGTTTTCAGAGGTTTCTACCCACAATTGCTACCTGAAAACCAGTGTTTACAGGAAGGGAACAGACCGGCTGGCTCAACCAGCAACTGTTGCCTTCACCAGTGGTTACAAGAAGGACCAAACCTATTGGCCAGTTGCCATTACCCAGCCATGCAGCCACCCAAGTCAGCAGTCTTATAAATGCTTGACTTCAGAATTTCAAGTTTGTCTATTTGGATTTTAGCAATTTTTTAACTCATTTTTGGTTGAAATGCTTGAATCTAGTTCACTCATGGTAGTTCTGATTCTTTATAGTACTTTACAATCTGTAAGCTCTGACTCAGACCAAGTTCTTGAAGATATTCATAAGGCAGCTGCATTTTTGAATTTTCAAGTTGTTGCTGTTTTCATTTGAGAAAAAAAAAAAAAGTGACATTGCATGCACTCTGAGAGAGCTTTTGTTTATGTACACTGGCCAAGGAAATTTCCTTTGAAAACTATAGTAATGATATGGGAATGTGAAGCTTGAATGCTTTAACTTTGAGAGTGCGCCTGTGGCAAGAAGAAAGACTGGTTCTTTTCCTAAACTCAGGTGAAGATTCTGATGGTAAAAACTAAAATGCGTTCGACTGGCTGGTTCAACCAGTTGAACAGGGACCTAATTTCCAACCAGTTCTTTCATGGGCCAGTTGTGAAAACACTACTGAAAATTTTGGCTCTCACTACAAAAGAACGAGCTGGTTTTCTTTTTCTTCCCTTTTTGAGAAATAAACAATGCCCTTAGCCAGACTAAAACAACTATTTTTGCTTGTTTATCACGAACAAAAGACAACCAGAGAGACAGATCCCTGATCTGACTCAATCTTCGATTCCCTGAATTAGAGTGATACCAAAATCATACTATTAGGACCAAAGATGATATTTCTACCAAGCTGTCCCTGTCCCATATCGTTGTCTTGCTTTTGCCAGAAATCTTTTGCTTACAGTCCTTCTGATTGGGTTGAGGACACCTTAAGAAAATAGACTGTTTAAAATCCCACTGATCCTTCTAAAATGATAGGCTAATTGTCATGATCCTAAAAAAAATTAGGATTGCCTTGAAATATAAAAATTCTCACCATCTTCAACTTTTAAAAAATCACACTACCTTCAACTTGTAAAAGAGCTGAAAAAGCTTTTATAAAACCAAACTGCAAGGTAATCACACTTCCTTCTACTTGTGAAAAAGCCGAAAAAGCTTTTATAAAAAAAACCGTAAGGTATTATAAACCGTGACATTAGATATTAAAGTACTCTTGGGATACTAACGGTAAGCCATTATTGGAAAGGGAGATGTCATGATCACATTAATTTCACAACAACTATGTGCTAAAATTAGTATTTGAATGTAAATGTCTCACCACTTTCAACTCGTGAAACGTTTTTTGTGAAATAAAATTGTAAGATTCAATAAACTAAAAGGAACATTTTTTGTAAAATAAAATTTTGAGACTCAATAAATTAAAACAAATAATATCTCACAAATTGATATGAACTTAAACATTAATTCTGATCCTGTACTTTCAGCATTCAATATGAATCTAATTGAAAAGTATCACCAACAATTAAAATGACAAGTTCAAAACCAAGAGCAAAGAAAAAAGGGCTTGAAAGGAGAAACAGCACAAGAAGAAACGAGTAATGGTGTTTTTTCCGTATCCAAACCAAACATAAAACCCATCCAGACAGCATTTATACCTACCCAAGTCTTGGAGAGGCAAGCTATTAAAGCTCTCACAAAAATCTTTCCATTTAAAATTGCAATAGCAGGCTGCAAATCAATCTCAAACTACTTTGGACCAATGTCCTTGAGAGCACAGATCTGCTCCTCCCCCATTGCAGACATAACAGACACAACCAGGTCTTTCCCCTCAGCAAAACCATCCTTGATCTGCAGTCATGAAAAGATATTATTGTCAGCAACTCCACATGACGGATGCAGAGACAATGAATGCAAAATATAACTATCATGATAATAAAGAAATAAAACCAAAGTTTTATGGTTGGAACAGGTATCACTCACAATATAGACACCACATCGGTTACTAATCATGAGAAATGCAAACATATAAGTACACAGTAAAATGAGAAATGCAAAGTTCAGTAGAATCAGAATAAAAACAGAAGAACAAACAGTTTCAGCTAGTTAAAACATGCGAAAAGAAATATATTCTGCATAGGAATTTGGGATTTCAGTCAGGATGCCCATGTCATAAGGCTGGGAAATCAAGAGAAGACATTTTGAAATCAATAAAACATAAACCTTGATTTTTTACCAATACTCCTTGAAATTAATAATAAAAAATAAACCTCTCTAATGCACAAATTTCACCTCTCTTCTTTGAGTAGAAGAAAAAAAAAGGCTGCAATGTGAGCTGCCACTGGAGCCCCTTAATCCAAGGGTAATGTGGCCAGAGGAGCCCAATCACACCGCACAGGCACAATATAATACAAGTAGCCAACCTTAGACAGTGCAAAAAAGGCTTTGCTTATTGGCTTTAGATTCAAATCAGTAAATTCAATAACAAAAGAGCCCAATGTAAAAGAACATATAAAACAATAGTTAACTGACCTGTTTCAACAAGCTCTCATCAGTTGGGAGCCTCAGATCATCCTTAGTGTCTCCACTTTCAGTCAGCAGACTCACCTGAAATATTTAACTAGTTTAGAAGAAAAACACACAAATACACACACAAACACAAAAAGAAAATAACATCAAGTAAAAAAGAGGCAAATGAACTCACAAATCCATCCTCAGAAATGTCAATCAACTGGTAGTCAGTACGATTGACATGTGGAACCTGTTAAAACAGAAACAAAACCATTCATTAACACAAATTCAATTACATGACAGATTAAAAGTTAAAACTGAGAATGAGATCTGATTCATACATCACAGTTGTGGGAAGAGGGAACAATATCTTCCAGCTTCTTGGCGGTGAAGATGTCAATTCCAACAAAGTGACACTTAGCATGACCATGCTTCCCAGTCTTCGAGGTGGAAACTTCTACAACCTGGTGCGCACCATACAACAACAATCAAGTTAGCAAAAATTGCAAACCATTATACACCCAAATCTAAATAGCAACCATAAGGTGCCAATCAACAGTCAACACCAATTTATCATGTGCCAATAAATATCATCAACGCTTGCTCACATGATAGGACGATTCATTCAAAAATTACTAATTTCTTAACACAAAAGGCTCTGAGTTGTTTGTTTTTGTTACTTTTTGTTTTCCAATTTGCTTTTGCTTTATCAAAAGTTACCAAAAAGCTAAAGAAAACATTAAATAAGTAAAATCATATTTGATTCCGGAAACAAAATTAAATAAATAAATGAATGATAAAAGAGAAAATAGCAAAAGTAAAAATCAAACGAAATATATAGATTTTAATTATCCAACTATTAAAATTAATTTTTTAAACAAAGATCTAAACCATCTGAATCTCATCTAGAAATTATATACAAATGAAAAAACTAAATCTAAAAAATAATTTCGAGTTCATTTTCTGGATAATATAAAAGAGATTTTTCAAAATAAACAAATAATTTCCGATATTCAAAGAGAGGACCTTGCAGGGGCGGCCTTTGATGACGATGTAGCCGTTCTTGCGGATGGTGCCGGCCTGCTGAGGATAAGTTTTGGAGGCGCCGGCGTCGGCCTTGGATTCGAAATGGTGCTCCTCGTCCGACATTTGCAAGTTCAAATTTTGTTTGTTTTCCCTTTTTTTGGTTTAGTGTGTGTTGCAGAAAACGAAAAGGGGCAGGTGGGGTAAAAAGGGTTTTTATATGTTTATTTTAAGAGTTAGGGTTTTCAATTTTATTTTATTTGTAGTTTCCGGGAGTGAAAGATGGTTCTTGCGGGCATTTTTCGCCGTTGATTTCAGCGGTGATGGGTGATAGTGAATGATGGAAGGGCGAGGAAACGGAGGTTTTCGGATAGATAATCGTTAGGAAAATGCAGCAACACCTTTTTATTGGGCTTGGCTGGACTCGTCCCATTTTCCTTCATTTCCATTTTTGGGTCTACTATTGCTTTTCCCTGCAGAGAATTTGACTTGTTCAATTCATGCACGTATAAAAATATACAATTTCAGCCTATTAATCTTTAAATTAATTGATGTGTTATTATAATTGATATTTAAAAATTATTTATTTAAAAAAAAATTATTTTTCAATCAGATAAATAATAAAATAAAAAATTTAAAAATAAATAAAAAACTTTAAAAAATACAATTGAAAAATATACATATATAATTGTCTGTGTATATATATATATATATACACACACTAATATGTAATAGTAGATATGACAATGGGCTGGATTAAAGTGAGTTTTTGTTTTTTTAAATTTAATATGATTTTATATTCATAATATTTAAATTTGAATTGATTCGATCAAATTTTTTTTTATATTTAAATTCAATTTGATTCGATATTATATAAAATTGTATTCAACCATAAATTAATAAAATATTATTTTTTAAATATAAAAATTAATTTTTAATATAAATATAAAATTAAATAAATATAAAAAAATATATAACTATAAAATTAAATAAATGTTTTAAAAATAAAATTTTAATTGTTTGACTCAACTCAAAATATGATTTTTAAAAAAATATTTTTAAAAAGATTGAATTGAATTAAAATCCGTCGAAAATGAGTTGAGGTAATAGTTTAAATATCACGTATGTTGTTAAGATTTTTAAAAATTATAAATTTGAAAGACTTAAGCTCTTGATGTTCTCTTTAAATGAATCAAGTAGATAGGAAGAGAAAACTAAGGTCTAAAAATAATACGCTGCAGTTGTATTTTATTTTGCAAAACACGTTTATTTTGTTTTGTTTTTCATTTTATATCTTAAAATTTTTTTAAATTTTCATATCCTTAAAGTTTGAAAATTACACTATAATGAAAATTTTGAATTTTATTTGATATATAAAAATTAATAAATTCTTATAATAATTAAATAAAAAAGTGATATTTTAATAATATTTTTGAAATTTTAAAACTTTACCGTCATTTATAAAATAATAATCTTTTGAAATTATTATTGTATATTTTCAAGAATATTAAAGTAATTTAAAAACAAATATATAAGGGATATCACCCAATATGCATAAAATTTTTTGATATTTTACTAGTGTTACTTTCTTTAAACAAGTGACTTGGTAGTGATTGAGGACTAGATTAGATTCTGCAGCACGAAAAAAGGTTAATTTAGATTTTATTGTATTTTCGATGCACTGAAATTTAATTCTTTTTTGAGAACTAATTGCATTGTGAAATACATTTGGATGGTATCTTGCAATGTAATTTGCTTCGATAAAAGGTCCAATGAATCATTGAACCCTAAAATAGTCCATTATTTTAGTCTAAACATGACAAATGAATACGTTTTTCAACTATAGCAAGCAATTATCGAATATTATATTTAATTTTATTATTACTATTATATTTATATTTAAAAATATATTCTTACTTATAATATTTAATTTTACATAATATTATCATTATCATTATTTTCGGCCTTCATAAATTTTAAATGCTAAATTTAGAGTTGATTGAATGATGACTTAAAGTTTATTTTCGACCTTCGTAAATTTTAAATGTTAAATTTAGAGTTGATTGAATGATGACTTATAGTTTGATGGTAATATCATTTTTAGATATAGCAACAGGTCGAATTGAAATAAGTTTTTGTTTACCTCAATTTTATATACATAATATACGAATCCAAATTAAAATTAATAAAATATTTTTGTTTAATGTAAATATAAAATTAAATAAATATAAAAAATATTTAAATATGAAATTAAATAAATAATTATATATATATTAAATCAGGTTGAATTTGTCTATAATACAATCTTAACTTGACCTTAAACCTAATTTAAAAAAAAAAATCATAAAAAATCAAATCGAGTCGAAATCGTAAAAAACGGATTGGTTACCATCCTTAATTATTTTTCGTTTTGAGCCACAACAGAGCTTCATTGCAGAGAATCACAAAATTACCATCTATGTTATAAAAAAAAAACAGAGCAATTTATCTAAAAATTTAAAGCAAAAAGAAAAATATATATAAAAATGGTTCGACATATTCATATGTGGAAAGCAATGAACAGATCAATGAATAGGTAATGTCGTTTCATCATATATGATTTACATCAGAAAGTTGATGGTAAGAAGCTCAAAATTCTTCTACTTTAACAGCATCACGAGGCATTTCATAAGCATCTTTAGGCCTTGATTTCTTGACCCCAGCCATGAACCAAACTTTGTCAGATTTGTAGCTCTCAACACTCACACTTGTGACTTTAACCCAAACGATGACCTTGGTTTTCATCCCTTCGATTCCGCTCAGCTTTCCCCTTGACAATGTGGCTTTCACACGAGTCCCGTATCTCACCACTGATGCATCCTTGAAGCTCACTTCACATGGGGAAGGGAAGTACACGATCAACTTGGATTTTAATTGATCGAATTCGTAGCATGTTATGTTTCGTGGGAAGAGTCCCGGTGGAAGGTTGTGCTCTCGGAGAAGATCTGGCAAGGCCTTCACTGGTTTCCCTATAAAACGACAAATCAACAACTTAAATGGAGGATTATGATCTGCAAAATTAGACCAAACCCAGCGTCTATGGCACCACATCAGAAAGCGACAGCTAAAGCTTTACCTTTCATCTTGTTGAATATCCATTTGGCCTTCTCTTCAACCGTGTTTGAGAGTGACTGGAATCAAAATTGTAAAACCACAACATTAAGCATTAACCAAATTGAAGACAAATGTCTGCCCGTAATTTCCAAGATACCATGTTTTTTCCCCCTCCCCAACATCAAAACCATCTAATCTAGTTACCCAAAATTTGAATCCAGCAACAATTACATGCATAATGGTAGAGAAGAAAACCTGAGGCAATAAATATTAAAGAAAGAAAAAGCCAAAAATAATCCGAGCTTATCTTAGTTGGTTCATACAGTCATTTGTCAGATATGAGTTTAAATTCTAGCACCTGTAATCTTATTTTAGAAAATAAAGCTAACAGATCTTGATTCTAACATTTAGCTTTACCATGAAATATTTGAGGAAAAAAAAAATTGATGAGTAAGCATTGTCAAATTGGCAAAGCTCAGGTGCTCAATAGTCAATACCAATAGCTGCATTATCAAATTCTATTCAAGGAAACAATGGAAGAAACAAGAAAGTAGAAAACAAATGATTATACAGAAATGCAAGAGGCTGAAACAGAAACTTGAACCATCTAAAATAAAGTTTATAGCCATACAGAGAGGTCTTCAGTGATGTTAGAGATTTCTGCCTTAGCTTTTTGGGAAATCCAGAAGCTACCAACTTTTGTCAATGCTTTCTCCATTTCTTTTCTGCTCTGGAGCTGGGAAATTGGTATGGTCACTCAGAGAAGATCCTAAAGGCCTCTAGTTTTTCCACCAATATATGGAATGGATGAGGCAGAGAGGAAGAAAATAAAATGCCCTCGTCTTAACAACAGCTCACCACATGCCAAAGCTATCTCACCAAATGTGTCACAAGCCTTACAGCTCTCAAAACATGACAAACTGAAAGAAAGAAAAAATGGCTGCCACATAATAAAATGAAAAAAAAACAAAGGATTGATTATTACTATTGCATCATTTTAAACGACACCGTTTCACATGCTTAAAATGTAAGATTTTATTTTGGAGGTTTAGGGTTCGAATTTTAAAAAATTAAAATAAAACTTACAAAAATGAGAGAAGATTTCGTCACATTATTAATCTAAATAAATTATATATATAAAAAGAAATTACATTGTTTATGTGCTCTCATTTTTATTTAAAGTAATCCCCTTTTGTATGGCTAAAATTAAATTTGAAAATTTTATTTGAACTTGAAATAATTTGATTTGACCAATTATAATTTTTAATAATAGTTTATTCATTTTTTGTTAATTAATAATTTATTTTTTTAAAATTATGATTTAAATTTGAATTTGAGATTTTTAATTTTAAAATCAATTCCAATACTTACTTATAAATTTTTAATAAATCAGTGAAAAGATGAAGCGGAAATTGAAATTGTTGATAATTATGCAGTAGTAGCTGGTGAAGTTGTTTCATGCTTCATTCTCAATTAAAGCCATAATGAAGATTAATTATTTTGTAAGACATGGTAGACAAAAAACAAGGACAGCTCACCTTGAGCATGCAAAATTTGAGCGGCTTACATAGAGCCAAAAAAAGAAAAAGCTAAAAGACATTGACAGGTTTGATCATAGTTTCTCATTAATTTTCCATTTCCATGAATTTATTGAAGACCAAGTGCATGTGCATCCTCTGTTTTCTTTATCTTTTCAATTTCTTCATATTTATTTAAGAGAAAAATTGTCAAAAATAATTGGATAAATATCAAGCCATCCTGTTGTTAAATTTATGGGAATAACTTTGTAAACAACATATTTTTTTTTAAAATGGAATAATAATTATTAACTTTGTATACCATTATAATTTTCGTTCACTTTGAATTTATAAGATTTTGCTAACAAGTGTTATAAGATATTTGTTTATTTTGTTTCGGTATTAGTCATATGGGATGATATGTTTTAGTTATATCAAAATAGATACACTTAAGAATATTTTTCGTATCAAATTCAATATTAGATAATATTAATTATTTTTGTTAGTTTCAATTGATTTTAATGAATTTTAATTGATTAACATGTTTCGATTGAAAGATAAATGTGAAATATATTTTATAATTTTTAATTTATTTTTATTGTTTAATTATTTTTAACTTAATACAAATAAAATTAATTAACAAAATAACTCTTAAAAGTTTAGTTTCTTTATTTTTTATTATAATTTGTTTTCTTTTATATTTTATTTTTTCAAACTAAAGTTTATAATTTTAAAATCAAAATTTATAAGTATTTCAAATTCTTTTAAGAAAGCAATTATGTTTCTTTTATAAGATTTAACATTCATAAAGTTTTGATTAATTTTTTTATCTTTTTATTTTTATCTTAATATTTTTATTAAAAAAATACTTATTTAAATATCATATGATCAGATTAAATATTTAAAAATATTATAAAAATTTATGATATTATTTCTTATACTTTTAAACTTATTTATTTGATTTTTAAAAATATTGCATATTTATTTTATAGATTATTAATAGTATTAATGTACAAGTTAATATATATTTATAAATATATTTATACTAAATCAAAAAATTTGAAATAATATATCAAAACAACTGGTACTAATATATATATATATATATATCATAGTTTTGTAAAAAAATGAAAACGTTACCTAATATGATATTAATAACCTTGGTTTTAAATGTTTTTTAAAACTTAGTAAAGATATTGATATTATTTTTATATTGAATATAATAATTAATAATTAATATTAAATTTAAGAATCATTAAATTTATTGATAATTTGAATATAAAATTTAATTCAATTAATTTATATAATTATTATTAAAAAATATCATTTAATAAATTTAAAATTTAAATTTCAATACTTATAATTTTTTTAAAATTTTTATTTACAACTTTCTTAATAAAAAAATAATTCGTTGAAATCTTGAATTTCTTTTAATCAAAATGATCCTAACACCAAGCTTGATAATCAAACCAAAGTTTGGTCACGGACAAGAGGGGATGTATGAACTTCCCCACAACTTAAAATAATCATCAACTAACAAAAATAAAAGAGTTCTAAAGCACGAGACAAGTGGCAATTTGTTGGCATGCATGTAATGCTTTAATAAAGTTTCAATGTAAATTTACAATCCTTAATTTTTCAACCATTTCATTTGCTCTTTATTTATTTTTAAAACATATAAACAAATTAATATTTTTGTTCAAGAAATTAACTTGATTAAAATATTATAAAAAGAAAAAATATTAAATGGTCAATAATTTTAGAAAATAAATATTCTTAAACACAATTCATGAATATAACTAATTTTATCATCGGATAGGGCTTGTTCAAGATCTAACTTTGTTCAATCGAGAGTTTAGAGAATCAAAATTTTCTTTAAAGATATTAAAATATTTTAATAAAAATAATGTTAACAAAATAAAATTTTGGATTAGATCCGAACTCAACAATTCGTGTTCATAGACTTGAATGTGAATGTATCTAAATATAATAATTATTTAAAGAAATTTAGAATTTAAATAGAAAAAAATTAAATGATTGAGAATTAATTAAATTTCATAACCATGTTAAAAACAAAATTGAAATTAACATTTAAAAATTTTCAAGTAAAAGAGTAACGAAAAAAAACAACTGAATAAATATTCTGATGTAAAAAAAAAAATTATTTTTAAATGAGATGGAAAATTCACAAGCGCAAGGTTTTTATTTTTTATTTTATTTTATTATATTTAAAAATAAAAGGTGAAAAAAAGAGAGAAAGCAGAATGAGCGCCAAAAAGAGCAGAATTAGGCATTTGTCAATCTCGATCACTCCAAGGAAGTTTGAGAAACGATCAATGCCGGCAACCAGATCTGAAGTGTTTTAACTGAGACAAAAATCGCTGGCCTTGTTTTCTACGACAAAGTCTTTGTAAACAATGTCTAATGTTTTGTTCTATGAAACCTCAACTTCACTCTTTTCAAATCAGCGTTCCTTGGCGTTTCCTTTGCAAATTCCCTGGCAATTTAGTTTCCAGCAGTTCCAGGTACAAATTTTTTTTGGGGTTTCTTTTAAATGTTCATTAATTCGCCTTTGCAATTCAGATTGTTTATGGTTTGCTTGATTTGCCTTCTGAAATATTCATGCCATTGATCAACTTTAAGTAAGCTAAATCTATGGTTGTTAAGTCTCCATAAAACAACGTAGGGACCTCATAAAGAAATTGATTGAAGAATCTCCATCGCAAAGTTCTTCCAAGGAATGAAAGCTTTGAATAGGATACATTTGTCTGCTAAATCATTTCTTCATATCTGATTACTAAAAGAGTGAATCTTTCCATATTCTTGTTTACATTAGACTTCGTAATTTTAAACACGGTAAAGTGACAGGAAAAATATATGAAAAAGAAAAACACAAAAGCAACATGGTTAAAATTTAGTAAAAACTGAATACAAGCTTTACAAAAACAAAAAATGTGTTTCGTATTTGGTATGTTAACATGAATTTTAATAAGATAAACAGAAACAGAGATAAGAATTGCTAGGTCTAATTTTTATATGAATGCTAATGCCAAATCACTGGACTTGGTCTTCTGCTCTAGATTCTATAGATTTATACAGCTTTGTTATCGATGTAATTGAGTCATAAAATGCTTAAATTTGTTGGATGTGATTTGAGTTGCTTGCAGATCCTTCTTAGTTTTTGCTTGAAACACTTTTGGGCATTTTTCAAAAGGAAAATATGGGTGAGATTGATACCAAACCTATTGAACCAGTTCAAGTTGCACGATCTTTGTTTGGCGGAAAGGGTGATCAGTTAAAACACCTGTCCAGCAGCAGCGATGTAAGATTCTTGTTGTTATTCTGGTATTCAATTTTTTTACAAATCATAATAAATTTAGTTTAATGCTTACAATTTACAAAGCAATGCTTTCTTCTATCACAATTGGATCCCACACATGGGGCTAAACAAGTGTGTCAGAGAAGGAGAGCATTGCTTTTGGAATATTGAATTAGTTCATTGCAGTCATTGCATTTCTCAATGCATATGCAACATTAGTTAAGCTTCTGATTATGACCATTTGGTCCATTTCTGTCTCCTTTTTTTCTTTTCTCAGTCAGATGTGGAAAAAGAGAAAGATATTGAAAGTCTAGAAAAGGAATTGGCCAATTACAGACTGCAAATGGAAGCAAAGGACCGTGAATACATGCAGGCTCTTCTTCAACTAGAACACTACAAGAAAACAACAGAAGAATTTTCTGTCCTACTCCATAACTCTGAGCTTGAGAGAGATAGATATATAGAAGAATGCAATGAAGTCAAGAATCGGATAGATGAACTTGAATCCAAGATGAAAGGGATGGTACATCAGTTGTCAGAAACTGCAATGATCCGCGAGCAGCTTTCGCATGTTTTAAATGAGCTGAAGGTTACACAAGCTGATCTACTTACTATGGAAACTGAACTTGCTGCTGCCAAAGATTCAGAGCTCAAGGCAATGACACAAGTGCAATTGATGGAAACCTCTGCTAACATGGAAAAGGAAAAGTCAGAAGAGCCTTTAGGCCGTATTTTGGAGCTTCATGATGCTGTTCTTATTTCAAAGGTCACTGCCACTGAAGCTGAGAAAGAGAAGTGCAGAATTGTATTTGAGAAAGGTGCTGAGTTGGAGTCATTGAAGGCAACATCATTTCAAGCACAAGAACTGATAGATCTGAGAAAACAATTGGAAACAAAAGAAGAACTGGAGAATCAGCTCCTAACCAAGTCTGCATATATTGATTCATTACAGGCAAAACTTGAGCAGGTAACTAATATACTTGGTTCAATAGAGAATGCTACTTCGGATGGTGAAATTGATCTGAACCAGATAGAACAAGACTTGGCATTCAAGGAAAGAAAGATATCAGATCAAGCATTTTATATTGAGGCATTGGAAACAGAACTGAATCGCTTAACGCATGAACTGAAAAATGCTAAGGAAGTGGCATGGAACTTGAACCGTACTGTTGGAGCACTTAAAAGTGATCTTGAGAAGCTAGAAATTGAGATGGATGAAGTTAGAGAAAGAGAGAATGATGCACAAGTCGAAATATCGATGTTAAAGTCTGAGCTTCATGAAGGGAGGTCAAAAATTGCTGCAGCAGAAACAGCTGAAGCAAGAGCTCAAAGTTTTAAATCAGGGCTGTATCTTGCAGTTCAACAGCTAGCAGTTGAAGCAGAAGAAGCCAAGAAGGAAAATCAGAAGTTGAAACAAGAAGTGGAAGCTGAAGAATCTGACAACTCTACCTTCAACCATCAAGATGAGAATGAGAAGTCATCTCAGGGCGCACTAGATTCGGATATTGATGATCAAAGAGATAAGTGTGTTGACAGTATAACAATTTCAATTGAGGAATACAACTCCTTGATCCGAAAAGCTGAGAAGGCAGATCAAATTTCAAAGTCACTAGAAGAAGACTCTAAACAGCTAACCACAGAGTCAGAAAATAAGAATGAAGTTGAACTTTTAAAGAAGGAATTGGAAGTTGCAATGGCGAAAATTGGGTTGTTTAGGAACCGTGCAGAACAAGCTGCTACGAGGGCAGAAGCAGCGGAGAAAGCCAAAGCAACAATGGAGGATCAGCTGAGGATGTGGCAAGAGCAGAAGCATAGAAGAAAAGCTGCATTAGCTGCCCTCAGGGAGGAGTCTACGCCTAGACAATTCAGTCCTCCCACTATGGAAAAATTACCTGAAAAAAATCAGCCACTAGGTAAAGTTCTTAACTTGAAATTCTAGTCTAAACAATTTTTCAGTAACTTGGTTTGATTATAGAAGTTCTGAGTGAGAACTATAAGCTCTGAGCTGGCAATTTTATAGACTGAAATTATCATATTGGTCTATTTGCATGAAAGATCTTATATTAATAATAGTAAATGTGGTGTGGCATTGATGTTCATATATATTCTTCACGTTGATTAGGGACTTTTAAATTTTAACCTGGATTGCATAAAGCTGGAGAAATGCATAAGAAGATAGCTATGTTTGTAAAGGACCAGTACAAATTAGAGGTTTGGACTTCAGAAAATTTTTTCTGATTTTTAGTTTGTTAAAAACTATGCTTCAATAATACTTGATTCGAGTGGTTGGTTCAAGTAGCAAAGAAAGCAATTTATTATCTTGGTTTGAACCTATTAAAAGCTATGATAAGATAATTTTCTTGAATTTGTTAGTGTCAACTTAAATAAAACTGCTGGAATCAATATGAAAAAAATGAAATTGTATTAGATAAAACCCAAAAATCTCTTTCACACTTAATAAAAAAATGTTATGCTCCAATTGTCAATACAAAACAAGTCAACAGCGGCAACCAAGACAAGGAGCCCAAACTTTGGGGCTTGCTTTCTCCTGGCTGTGGTAGTTAAAATCTTGGTCTATTTGTGAGATCTGCAGCTCAAATTTGGGCCAAGGTGTTTTACCCTAAGACTAGACTTCAGGCTCTTTTATAGAAGTCCATTCCATTGCTTCATGTTTTTTTTTTTTTTGGATAAATGGTATTTTTATTAATCCAAAGAAGCAGTAAAACCCGGTATCAGTCAACAAATCAACAAATGAAATTTAGCAACTTCCTGTACAATCCCCCAATGTTTACCCATTGCTTCATGGTAATATTCTTGGAAAATTACTATTTATGTACTTACTCTTTATTACTTAACATGCTTTGAATATGGGGTTTCAAAGTTCACCAATGTAAAATTTGATTTACATGTAAAAGAATCTAACATATTTGATCTCAATTTATGTACTTAAACCAAGTCTTTCTTTTCCCTATAGATTTCAATTATTTTTATTATTTATCTCAATCACATTTTCTTTACAGTTATATACAATATTTTTACTGCTTAGTTTTTGTTGTTTGAAAAAAATAAAATGTAATATAATAATAAATAAAAAAGTTAACCAATCATCAAAATGTAACTCCCATTAGAACATATCAGAAATTGTGTGGACTTTGAAAAGTCCATAACAAGCATGAAAGGAAAGGGAAAGAAAGAGCCAGAGCCCTTGGTCGGCCAATCTCGCGTTTCACATTTGCATCTAATGGGAAAAGAATGGTAGACCATTTTTTTTTCTCCCTTTAAGTTCCGTTTTTTCTATCTTTTCCTTGCTTGGTAGACTATTCTCGGTTTGTATTTTCTTTGAAATTATGCATGAAATAATAAAATAAAATAAATTCTATAAATTAATTAAATTTGATAATTTTAAATATGATAGGATGATATAATATAAAAATAACACGATTTAAAATTTTAATTAAATTATATATAAACATAATAATTTACACATTAATATAAATTATGAAATGATAAATTTTATGATTTAACGTATTTAATATAAAATAAATATCATACATATATACGAGTTGTCAATTCTAACAATTAACATAATTTATGAGAAATATACAAATTTCACCATCGGTGTTGTATAGAAAACAAATTAACACTATAAGAATTTTTTTTTTCTTTTAGGATAGAGTTATAGAGTTAAATTGTTACGTTTGGTAATGTGAACGATGCCATATGGCAAAAAATTTCAGCCCCTAATTATAATGTGGGAACAAATTTTGTAAAATTTCAGCGGTTTCCATTGTGTGGAAGCAAAAGAAACGCGTGATTAATTTGTATTTGGAATTTGCAAGAGAAAAAGCTGAACCCCTCAATAATTTTAATCTGGTATACTCCAGTGGTCTACAAAGCCCTGAGTACATGCCAAATGAAGGTATTAGGGTATTTTTTTTTTTTTGTAATTTTAATTATTGGAGTTTGAAACTAAAATTCTTACTTGATGTTGATATTATTTAATTATTAATTTATTGGTTGAAACCTGAAATTTAATTTAATTAATTTATATTATATTTAACATATTTAAAATTTAAAATTTAATAATTATAATTTTTTTATCTCGAGATTATGGTTTTTTTTTATATAAAAAACAACTCATTGGTTGGTATAATTTTAGCTGACTAAGAGTAATTAACAAAATTAATTAAGTAGAATCTTGACTAAATCATATTGGGGGCCTTTAAATAAAAAAATCCAATTATTATAAAATAAAATTTTATAAATGGATAAATATTAATCTAATTAATTTATATTTGATAAAGTGCTTATGTTCTACTTAATGAAAAAAGCTAACTTTGTGATTTAAAAAAAAAAAAAAATTCAAGGGAGTTAATATGAAATCATTATCAATGTGTCTTACTGTTAGAAAGATCGATTCTTTTTCCCATAAACAAGAAAATACATGGAAATTCTAATATGTATATGTGACAGTGTTGAACTGAATAAGATTTAATTTAAAATTAATTAATAATAGATTAAAAAATTTAATAAATATAAAATAACATCACTTAATATTAACCACTTCGTTAATATATATTATGTTGATGGAACATTTTTTTTTTTAATAAAGAAGATTGAAGGGAAAAAAGAAATTGTACATTCAAATTTCAGATTTAAATGCCATTGATTTTTCGAAGCTTGGTCTCTGGTCGTCAGTGCAAGTGCTGTGTTCTTCCACTGACTTTTCAAATACACGTTTACAACTTTTTACTATATTATTATTTTTCTGTCTTAGTCCAAAATTCATTTTCTCATTTCTTCTCATGTTTTCATTTGATGGGTGTTTAAGTAACTCATTACTGCAAAAGTAAATTGTCTGACAAAAGTGAAGAAGAAGAAGAAGAAGATCATGGCAGGAGACCAAGCTGTTACATGTCGTTTCACTTTGTTTATATTCTTAATCCTGATTACAGGTATGTTACAATCTTTTTTTATCAGTTTTGGTCTAGTTTAATTAGATTCTAAGTTCTAGTTCCAATAGATAAATGATTACAACAATTCTGCGTATAGGAGTATCATTTCTTACTTATATTCAGTTATTGATTGGCGTTTAAAGAGCTTAAAATCTTGCTGTTGATATTAAATTTTCTTATGCATGCATGAAAATCTTTCATGGGGCAGCTTTTTTTTGTTTTTTGTTTTTAATTTCTGTTAATAAATTGATTTTGTAATTTTCAAGGTTGATTCTGTTGACTTATTGCAAATTTATTTCAGTAGTCATGTTTTGTAGTCATGTCTGAGTTTAAGGAATGCCATATCCATTTTGAGGATTATTAGATAATTAAAAAAACAAAAAGAGTGGTTATCAATTATATTTGATTAAATGCGATTGTTCATATAAATAAAATTTAATTTTTTAATGAAATTTTAAAATTAATTAAAATTTTATTTAAAAAATAATTTTTGATCTGTTAAATACAATTTAAGTTTAGAAGTACGATTACGTTTGGTAAAAAATTAGTACCTTCTATAATACCTGTCCAAGAACTATACCAATTAATCTTGTGTAATCTTTTAATGTTGACAAATGTGGTCTTAATTTTGATATTTAAAATTAATTTTCTTAACTCCTTTTATTTATCATCAATTTTGTTTCTTTATTTTATTTTTTTTAAACCTTGATATTGAAAAATTCTTAAAATATTCAAATATGTTAGTAACATTAAGAGAAAGTTTTTCATCTAAGAATTTATTAAGAATCAATTCTTGGATTTTCTTAGAATTTTATCATCGAAAACTCTTGTATATTTTTTAATTAATTAATGCAAATAATATTCATATATTATTATATGTAACCTTGTTAAAAAAATAGTACTCTTTTCTTTTATTTTTCTTCCATTTTTAATTAAAAAATAAGTAAATAAAAACTTTTTTGTATTGAATATCTTTCTAAATATTCTAATATTTTGGTAACATTTTATAAAAATATTCTCACATAAAGATTTTTAAGAAATCACTATTCAAAATTTTTTAAAATCTCTTCCTTAAAATTGCAAAAAAATTATTTGTCATCATTTTATTTTTTTAAAAGAAAAATGTTGTTAATTTTCACATTTTTCTCATTTTTGTTGATGGGTATAAGAGAGAAGAATTTTTTTTATTGATAAATTTTTATAAACACTCAAATACGTTGGTGGTGTTTAAAAAAAATTATCACCTAAAGATTTTATAGGAATAACTATGTGGTTTTCCTTAAAATCTCATTATCGAAAAAAATTTTCCTTTACTAATTTTTTTTATTTATTAAAGTTTTTACTTTTTTTTCCTTTTTTTAAAAATATATATTCAATCTAAAAATTTTAAAAAAGTTAAATATGCAAAGATAAACAAATAAATAACTTATCAAAATATGTAAAAAAATTTTAAAAAATAAAAAGTTACTCAAAAAAGGATTGATCAAAATTTGTCAACGGTTTGGGTGGTCAAGAGCTGTTTAAGAATCTATCAACGGTTCAGCAATGATTTTTCTACGGTTCATGAGTAGTTTAAAGCGACTTAGTTTGGTTCGTTTATGATTTGGAGTGGTTCATGAGTGGTTTAGTTGAACTAGTTCAAGTTGGCCAAGGGAGGAAGGCATGTGTTGGGTGTGTGGACCTTGGGTCAGGTTCAAGTCCCCGAACGAGTCAAGTAAGTTTTTCTCTTTTTCTTTAGTTATAAAAGCTAAAAAAATTTTTCAATTCATTTTTCTCTTCCCTTCTCTCTCTACATTCCCTTTCTTTCTAACCCTCTTTTCATTATCTCCATACAAATGTTGGTAGCCACTTTAAGCCTAGAATTTTGCCATCAATCATTGTGTTGTTGTCATCCACTGTTGTCAGCTGTCAGTTATCAGTGTAGAAAAAATTTTAAAAGTATAAAAAAAATCCTTTCTTTCTCTTTCTTATTTTCTAGTTGGTTTTGCCCAAAACAACTTTGAACTGCCTTAATCTAGATTTAAAGTCACAGCCTAAAACTTCAATATGCCCTTTCTTTCCATCGATTAAACACCTCTTTCTCCTTTTAATATGTGTTTCTCAACCCGCTGCCTTCCTTTCCTCTAAAAACTAAGCCACAAATTGCCTAGAACAGATCTAA